CTGGTGCCAGAGGCTGCAGGAGAAACCACGATGTGGCAGAAGGACAAGCAGCAGATTTTGCCATGAGCCACTCTCGGTGCACTCTTTTATGTGCCTTCTCCTCTTTGAGGTGAAGAAATGTAACATCAGTAAAAGCAACTGCTAAATTGCCAGGAAGAGGAATGATTCCACAAGCTGATTTAGAAAAGAGAARGTGCCAATTCCTGCAGAAAGTATTATTGATATAGGAAAAATTGCAGATGCCAAGAAATTAATTTTGACATTGAAAAAATGGTTTTAGATGCTGTTTTCTGAACTTTGAACGAGGCTTTGCTTTTCCCCCAGAATTCCCACACATGCAGATGCCATGGGATGTGTACTCACTGTGGTCCAGGCTGGGGRCTGGAGAGGTGCCTGGCAAAGCTGGTGATCCCAAAGCTCCAGAGTGTTTCTCAGAACAAGAGCTGTTCTCTCTGCCCATCTCYACATCTGCTCTGTGAGTGGCGTTGAGGGTGGGAATGTCAGCRTTCCCTGTGGCCACCAGAGCTGTGCCGGGGCCACCTCCAGAAATGGCTTGGGGCACAGCAGCTGCTGTCAGAGTCCTGGTGGTGGCAGAGGCTGTTTGATTTGGAAAGTGCCAAATGGAACTGAGTTTCTCTTGCCTGGCCATGCCCATGGGTGCACTTGGGAGAGCAGAGCTTTGCTGCCATGGACTTGTGACTTCTGTGCCCAAGACCAGTGCCCTGCTGGGTGTGACTCCCGTGGCTGCAGGGCTCTTGTCCTTGCTGAAACCCCTCTGTGGTGACMGATCTTCTTTCCAAGGGTCTGGAGGAGCACTGGCATTTTTGTCACCCAGAGCCAGCGCAACAGGGAGAAGTGCGATAATGCTCAACATGGAGTAGCCRTGCTGTCTTGGTGCTGRCAGGRGGAGCAGGRCCTGCAGGGCTTCCTTCTTCAGGASCAAAGTCCATGCTGTTTCTTATTTCAGGAGCCATGGTTTCAGTGAGAGGATCCACAGTCTCACCTGCATCAGTAAACACACCTTGAAATGGGGCCTCAAACTGGATGAGGAGGCACCGGGGCCTGGCCTGAAAATGGCACCGGGGCCTGGCCTGAAAACAGTATCAAGGCCACCCAACCACTCACAGCAGCATTACAGAAACAGGTCTTGGATGTTCATGGACACATTGTAGAATGTGTGGGTTTTTTTAAGGGGTTGAGTCTGGTTTGTGCCTGCACAAAGAAGCTGATTTGATTCCTGGGTCTCCTGTTCTGGTTGGCAAGGCCACGCKTGAACTCAGTGGGAGGAAATCAGCCACAGAAACAGCAAAAGAGGGAAAAGTACTCCTTTTGTCAATTCTCCGGCTTATTGAGCAGGATCTCAGAGAGATTTCATCTGAATAAGTATATATATAAGGTTTAGAGACAGGTCATATATAGTCCTTCAGCCACAGACTGAAAAGGTGCAGTGATAGGAGCAGATGCCATAAAAGCAGAAGCAAAACCCCACAGCTTATTCCAATGTTTCGTGGCAAAGAAAAGCTACACAGCAGCCTTTTCCACATTCTCACAGTTTCTTCCAGGTCGGGATGGATTGGTATCCATGGTTGTCCTTCATCTGCATATGTAGAAGCCCATCAAAGTGATGCACTCTGCAAACACAGAGCAGTCATTCTCGCTTGGGAAGCACATTCATCCCAATCTGTGGGACCAAAACAAGAACAGGGGTCAAAGAGCCTCCCTTCCAGCTGTATTAAGCTAGAAATAATCATTAAGTAGTAATGTAAAATCACTGTATTAAAGTGATCTTCCTTTTTCATCATTTACCTGTCAGCCAAGCTCTGAGTGATGCAGAACACTGTTTTGTTGTTCTCTTGTTCTTGCACTCTGAAATGTATTTTCTATGAGTAAAGACTTYTAAAATAATTATTTTTAGAAGTAAACACATTTGAAGTGAAAAAATGCTGTAGGTTTGTACCACAATTATATCAAAAGCACTCACTATTCCAAGTTCTGAGTACAGCACCTCCAGATATATCAGGTAATTAATAGATCTGTTACCACTAGCTACCAGTAGATAGAGCATTATATAGAGACTTAATCCAAATAATCTTCTGCTTCAAATAAAAAGTAAATGCTAGTAACTCCCACGGGAAGCACTCTTCTGTTCTTAACAGAGGAAGTGCTAAGGGCRAAATCTCTTTTTATACAATTTTTCTTCTCAAAAGTAATGTTGTAAAACTGTGACCCTCTTCCTGGTGGTGTCAGAAAAGACATCCTGATTCATCAGTGCATGAAGATGCTGTAAGGGTGTTCCTTATGTCTGGTTTCAGCTGCTCTGAATCAGTTAGAGATGCTTCTTTCACGCAGTTAGAGACCTATTTTATTGCTGAGTCTCTTCTCTTGTGAGGCATTKATAGCTGGAGTCTTGTACTGCCATTCACAGCCTGTTCCAGCAAATCTGCAAAGGCTGAGTTAGTCCTTTGGCCAGGAATAATGCCAGTGAATTCCAGGTGAGCCCTGCMTGTGTGACTCCATCCTGCACTCACCTTCACTGCCTCAGGGCCCTGAGAGAGGGAGAGCAGCAAACTAGGCTGAAAACTGTCTTGGGACAAATAATTCTGATCAGAGGCTAGAAAATTGTTTTGACCAACGTATTAACATAAGTGCTGGTTCTGCAGACTTTCAGAGATGAATGACTGTGGTTATTTCTCCAAAACAAAGGAATGCCCCATTCCCTGTGCATGCACATACAWGCGCTCATCTTTCTGCTTGCTTTTCCTTCCTTCCAGCAAATATTTCAATTCTTTCTACTTTTTCTTTGTCATTAGTTAATTGTTGCGTCCATAATTGTCTCCATTAGACAATTTCACGTGCCTATGGCCAGCAGCTGCCTATTCCAGCCTGAGCCACTTAGAGGGAATGCAGAAATGTGCAGGATTGACAGAACACCAGAGATGAAATCCGGTTAATTCCTTACTGTGCTGTGAAGTAATTGTGACTCTTGCTGGCTTCCAGCGCCATCTGAGAGATGTTAATTGCCAAATCACTTACATTCACGGGCTCCCTTGTCTCTGAGGGTTTCCTTTCTCCTCACTTAGCACGGCTTTTTAAGCAAATTCCTTCACCTCTGATGGCCACATTCAATCATGCATCGGGTCAAAGCACTGGCACTGACTGGTGCATCACTTGTGCACATCCACGCAGACACACACTGCACTTTTTTCCTCTCTGACCCATCACATTTCAGCCACGGTGTGCTTTGGACTCTCTTTCCACACTCTTGGCATCTTTCTGGCCCTTCACATTTGGCACTTCCCTACACACACCYCGACCAACAGTCCTAGACCAAAAATTATTAAAAAGCCACCTTTGTGTTCACTCTGATTACCTATTATACCTTGAAGGGATACMCACAAAGGGTAAAAATCTGAAATTCCCTGCCAAATGATGTTGCMGATGCTAAAGCTTTGTCTGATTTCATGGGGGAGGTTTTATGGAGAAGAAACCCAAAGAAATCACTGGATTCAGGGAATCCTGGAGCTGAAAACAGYTGTTTTCTAAGGGATTATTAGTGGGAAGCAATTATCACTGAGGACRTGACATTGTGCTAGAAGGATCTAGGGCCTGACTCAGCACACATCCCTTTCTCTTTTCTTACCATGCYCCACAAAACAGATTTTATTGTCTCTATTCATCATGGCAATAAATTTAATAATTTATGAATCTTCAAAGAGATCTGGTCCACTCCCTTCAGCTGTGCTGTCCCTTCTGACTTCTCATCCTGGCTTTTCACAGTTGAGTTGACTGCCACTAAACCAAGCACAAAGCCTGCTGGTGGCCAAGCTCCAGAGGGGATCCAGGGGCCAGGATCTGTGTGGGMTAATTGCCAAAGGTGATGTCCTGGGGCATTCCGGGGTCGGGAAGTAAAACACCCCATTATACAAATCCTTATTTCCCCCTTAGGAAACTCGCATTGAAGAAACTCTTCTTTGGGTAGAGCTAAGAATTGAACTCCTTTTCCCATCCCCTAAGGAGGAGTGGGGGTGTTGGCTSTGCTCCTGGATAACAGTGGTGCTGCTGGAAGCCACCTGGTTTTCTGCAGCTGAAGTGACAGTGCAGAGTTACTGCCTTCTTCCTTTACAGTCTTTCAGCCCCAGGATCAATAACATTTATAAAGTATTTTGGCACACATCAGCATCTTGCAATTCAGTCTCTGCTGCCATTGTGATATTTGTAGGCTTCAAGTGCAATTTTTCTCCTTTGCTTTTTCCTCTCCTGTTCTGCTTAAMCTCCACATGCTCTGCAACTCCAAAGGGAGTTTTTCCTGCTCACAGTAAATAAGCTTTTAAGAGCTCAATACACTGAGAGAGAAGAATAACCCATTCTGTTGGCTTTGGCAACTTTCTGAACTCTGCTGTCTCTGCCAGCTGGGAAACCTGAGGACAGAGCTCAGTCCTTTGAAGATAAAAATGGTGATTACTGAAGATCAAACAAAGGCCTGGCTTAACATAAATTCCAGGCATGTTTTTTCAGTCTATTCACAGTAAGGACGTTTGGGAATTTCTCTGGCTGGGTTTCTAGAGTGAAGATGTTAGATTTCTTTTCTTAAACCCTGGCCCAAATACAGTCCCCCAGTCTAGAAGCACAAACCTGTCTAGAGGGCATGTGTATCTAAAGGCTACAAATAATCCACAGTAATCCTATCTGCCATTCAGCACAAGAAAGATATGGGAAATTTTCAACTGGGCACAGAGAGAAGAGGGAGGAAAATGAGTAGGGAAACCATGGGTTCTACTCAGGTTAAACACAGGGGARGGGAGAAGTGCTTGCAAATCCCTAGGGACAACCAGTGCTCCTTTGACCCTTCTGGGATCAAGTTCTCACATCATGGTTTTCTCCTCAACAAACCACAGCCTTTGTTTCTCTATTTTGTGAAAAATATTGGTGATACTGCCCGTGACCAAAACACAAACTCTGTTTTCTTCTTTGCAAAAATAGTAATAAAAAATACCTCCTACTGCAGTGTTTTGTTGATCCACCACAAGCACAGAGCTGTTGTGGAGGTAGGAAAGCACTGGGGCAAACGTGGAGGCATCCACTGGGAACTCAGGATCCTGCACGGCGATTCTGAGTCTCACAACAATGCTGCCTGCTGCCAGGGATTCAATCTGCACTTTCAGCTTCCCAGATTTGTGTAAGGCAGAAATGTTGGGTGGAAATGAATTTTTGAGCTGAGCTAAGGGAGAGATGCATCAACAATTAGGAAGCCAACAGGGAAAGCTTCTCTTAAGATTGAACTATGCTGATACCTTTTTATAGATTTATGTAAGCACAACATAGAAAATGTAAAAAGAAAAGTTCCRAAATGTTTCAGAAATCTTACTTTTCAGAGATTATTGTAGCACAAAGTAATGTGAGTCTCCTTGGTGCAACCCTGCCAAAGACTTGGGGGTGCTGGTGGATGAGAGGCTGGACATGTGTGTCCAGCCTCTCATGTGAGCTGTGTGTGCTGGGCTGCAGAAACCCTGCCATGTGCTGGGCTGCATCCAAAGAAGGGGGCAGCAGGAAAGGGGGGTTCTGTCCCAGTGCCCCATTGCTCAGGTGAGACCCCACCTGCAGAGCTGCTCCAGCCCTGGGGCCCAGCACAGGAAGGACGTGGAGCTGCTGGAGAGAGCCCAGAGGAGGCAGCAGGATGGTCAGAGGGATGGAGCAGCTGTGCTGGGAGGAAAGGCTGGGAGAGCTGGGATTGTTCAGCCCAGAGAAGAAAAGGCTTCGGAGCTCATCGTGGCTTTCCAGGACCTGAAGGGAATTTACAAGCTGGGGCAAAACTATTTACAAGGGCCTGAAGTGACAGAACAAAGGGAAATGGCTTCAAACTGATAGAGGGTAGGTTTAGATGAGATATTAGGAAAACCTTCTTCCCTGTGAGGGTGGGGAGGCCCTGGCACAGGTTTCCCAGAGAAGCTGTGGCTGCCCCATCCCTGGAAGTGTCCAAGGCCAGGTTGGACAGGGCTCTGAGCAGCCTGGGACAGTGAAAAGTGGCCTTGCCCATGGCAGGGGGTGGAACAAGATGATCTTCAAGGGCCCTTCCAACCCAAACCATTCTGTGAATATAGGATTCTATGATACCTTTGAAAATTATGTCCATCTGACCACTGCTCTTACAAACCAAATCCCATTCTGGCTCAAGGGAGCAGAATTCCCCTGCCCCAGCAGAGCTGACCTGGCCTGGCAAGTGCATGCAGCAGAGCCTTGATGTTATCTCTGTATGTCACATAGGCACTGTGTTTACTTTGCAAGTGTGGGCATGGCTTTAGTTCCCAGGGAGCATTTGAAACTCACCAGTTCAAGTTCAGCCTGCAGCCGATTCCAATAACAAAGAAATCTCAGGATGAGAGACAAGAAAATGGGGGTGGATAACTTTAAAAAACAAAGTGTTTGAGACAGTCCAGCTTCTGGACAGGCAGTATCACAATTACATCATGGTTAATTACCAGAGCAGTGAGCAGTCACTTCAGCTGAACAAATGGCATTACTCTGGACATGAAAGCTGGCACACTGCTGTCCATACCTGAGCTGTGCAGGAGCTGGCAGTTTTGCTTTGCATCTCTAGAAGGCAGCTCCTTGCTGGAGCCCTTTGTTCCTGCACCCACCTCAAAGCATGCCTTTGAGCACGAATTGCAGAGCCATAAATCAGCACAGCTTTGTTCCCATTCAATCAGAGCTTGCTCACAAAAATTCCTACAAACAAGTTGTTTAACTGGTCCTAGATCACATTAGGATCATCACATCACCAAGGGAGGCAGGAAAATGAGGAGAGAGGAAGTGAGAGGGGGATGTGGTGCTCCCAAACACTCAAGGAAGCAGAAGAAACACAAATGCTCCTTTTTCTTCCCAAMCCCTGATTGAAGCCAATCAGGTCTGCATTAATCTCAGAGAAAACTCACTCATCAAAATCCTCAGACACAACAAAAGGGAACAATTTGCAACTGTGGGAAATAAAACCATRTCAGGAGGTTCAGCTTGCAATTTCTCACAAGCAAATGCCTCTTCTCTGCTTCCCTCGAACATAAGGCTCCACCACTGTTTTGGGGTTTTCTCTTGCATTTAAATTCACACATGTTTTATGAGTCACCCTTTGTTTTGGGGAAGTCTTGTTTTGGATGGAGATCCCAATTCCTCTGTGCAGGCCCTGTTCTGTGCAGCAAAACTCTAGGAGATTGCTCCATCTGAAACTTCCCCCTTTTTCTGGGAAGCTGAGAGCTGGCACCACACTTCATGACTCAAGGTTTTTTTCTGGCTGATTACACCTGACTGTGGACAGTGGCTATATGTGTGCAGGAAATGAATGGGGCTGGAGAAGAAAGCCTAATCTGGCCACTTTTCCTCAAAGAAGAAAGAGCTTTGAGAGCAGTCAGCCATTTACTGAGAACACTGTGCTGAAATGAATGCCAGGACTGCCATTTCAACAATCCATTAAAAAGCCTCAAGTTAATTTACTGTGAGTTTATTGCCAAATTAAAGATCCAAGGAAGGGAGTCCCTGTTGCATGCCTGCATTTATAATTCCTTCACTATTCTGTAGGGGAAAATTCTCATTAGCTTAGCTGCTAACAAGGTTAAGGGCTTGATCTGTCTAGTCAGTTGAATTTTGTTTTAATTATAAAGAAAGGTCACAGAAAACAGTGTGATGATTTTCAAGGGATATTTCAGCCAGGCATAAAATTCCCTATTAGAATAAATAATTTTTAAATTGAAATATTTATAGATATATATTATTCAGGGATATTTTTATTTTAATGCTGTAAGCAACAGTCTTGAAAATCCCTCATATGCTGAGCTGCTGGAATTGTGGAAATCATCAGTGAAGTTGTAGTTGAGAATCCTCATTGTAACTTCAAATATCTTGGCCTCTGTAGGATACAATAAAACACACTGACAAGGTAGAAAAGGATTCAGTTAAAACTGATGTGCCAAAATCTCAGATGATGGAAGGAGAAGGGAGGAGACGATTGAGAGAGTTTGGTATTAAATCAAGATAATTAAGCAAAAAGGCTGGTACAAGCCTCTGATGCATTGGGAAGATGTACTTATATCAGGTCTAAAGAGATATTTTGGTGCCTAATTGCAGCTGCATAGAACTAGGAGTACACATCCCATTATGTGTGGGTATACACATACCTGGGCCTGACCCTACACAAATCCTGCCTTGAAGATACACCCAGGGCTGAATTGTCAGTGGGCTCATCTTTGGTCCACCAGTCACAATTTTTTTTTCGATTTATTTTCCTGATCTTGGTAGTGTGGACAGTAAATATGTCCTTGAACTGAAAATACAACAAAAAGCAGTGCATGGCCCTTGCCTGTGTGGTGAGCCCTGACAGATTCTGTACAAAGATTCTGCACAAAGCACAGGAGCCAAAACCAAGAGCCAAGGAATCTCTAACTGCTCTGTCCTGTATAAACACTCTGAGGCTGTTACTCCTTGGACTGATCCTTGGAAAACTTTTCTTTTTCTCAAGGGCTCCAGCTTCCTACTCTGAAGTTCAGCCCTCTGTTTTCATAACCACTGGACCTCCTGCTTTCCCTCCACAAAGGGAGTAATTTCCTTCTGACCCAAAGTGGAGTCATCCCTCATCTGATCAAAGGGAAAGCTCTTCGGGATAAACATGAACAGCAGCATTCTCACTGTGGTCAGTAATAAATAGTTCACTGCCTGGCCCTCCAATAAAAAAAAAGGGGGGGAGAGATTTGTTTCTTTATTTGCATGGAGGGTTAGGAAATAATTTAAGACTAGGGGAAAAGCAAAATTATGTTCGATGAACACACTAGGGCCTCAGGAACCTTCCATCACTGGTTAATTAAATAAAACTGGGCAGTTAGTCTGCAGCTTTCTTACTCAGCCCTTGTAATTCCCTTTAATCCTTTATTCAGCAGAGTCTGCCCTTCCTCTAGGCTAACTYCTGTTAGCTCAGCTGACCCTTGACAAACCAGTTGCCTGGATTTCCCACTGGCCACAGCCATTAACCAAGAAAAAAGGGGGCTTGCTGGGAGATGGGTGGCAGCAGAAAGCAATGCCAGGCACCAAAGAGATAAATCTAAAAAAAAAACAATTCTAGCTTAGCTTGATTGCATGCAATTATAATCAGYTCCAGCACTGCTTTATCAACTAAGGCCAAAGTTCTGCTGCCTGATATTCTGGGTTGGATAAATGCTGGGRTAGATGAGATAAAAAGTGCTGAAGAAGGTGGGAAATGTTCATTGAGGAGCAAAGGATCATTGCTCAACTGCAAGTGAGCAGGAATGAWGGGGGTAAAAAGGAGGAGAGAGAGATTATATTCTATATATATATTTTAAAGTGTCTCTTTACCTGTTTTAACATTTTGATGGGAGATTATGGTTTTTACACAGGTTTCATAGCTGAGCTCTACTGAATACATCACACCAACTTCCAGGTGAGACACACCCAKTTCCCTGTGCTCTGTCTTCAGGTTCTGCACAATCTCACTGCCCTTGAACACCTGGACTTGGAAAGTGTGGTTCAGAGTCACAAGCCAGGACATTTCAAAGCTGCTGCTGGTAATGCTGAGGATTCGATGGTTTGTAACTGCACAGGGATCTGTTGCAGTCCCAGGAAGAGTCAGCACAAAAAAAAAAAAGCAACAYTTCACCTTTAAAATGTGCTATTCTAAATCCACTACTGACAAGCATTTTGACAATCAATAGGGTAAGTTCCTCTTCAAGTCAGGACAGAATCTTCCCCTCTCACATTAACGGCTCCCCTCATGACTGATTAAGGGCTWAATCTTTTTATTTCCTTCTAGTATATAAATTTCCATTGAGTTAAAGAATCCTGGAATGGTTTGGGTTGGAAAGGATCTTAAAGATCACCCAGTTCCAGYCCCCTGCCRTGGGCAGGGACAYCTTCCACTACACCAGGYTGCTCAGAGTCTCATCCAATCTGACCTTAAACACTTCCAGGGATGAGGCAGCCACAATTCTTCTGGACAACCAAATCTCCTTCACACAAACTGCCAGCCAGTGAGCTACAGGTACAAGCAACAGGAATAAATTTGGAAGAGTGACTCTGTACTCTAAACGTGTTGACACCTGTGTTGCCTCCTGTCACTTTAATGATCAAAATGCAGATGTTCAGGCAGAGCTTGCCTGGATTTATGCCTGGAAAACCCCCACAAACCCCAGCTAACAGAGGCTGGGGGCTGAGTGGCGTGCAGCATTTCCCCTGTTATTCCACTCTAGTCCACTGCAATCTTTGTCAAGTCAATGGGAAAAGACAGGGTCCTTCAGAGATGATTCCTCTCCTGGGAGGAGGAGGTGTCTAAATTGGGTAGGATGAGTTGCCCTGCAGCAGAGCCAGTCTGTCTGGCTCGAGAGAGAGAGCCCAGACTAAACASCTCTGCTGGAGAGAGCTGGGGTCAGGTGAGATGAGCATCACACTCCAGACACCATGGCGTGCTGCTGCCACAGCTTCAATTCTTTCATGCTTATAGTTAGACTACAGAAAAAAAAAGCTTTTTTTTTTCAAAAATTGTTCCAATAGAACACAGCTGTTTCCAGCATTCTGAGCCTGGKGGCTGCCAAACACCTCCAAAGCCACAACCCCTGCACGAGAGGGGCCTCAGTTTAACTCCTCTGGCTTCAGCTTGGAGCAGAAGTTGTGGATGAAGATCAAATATCCAGCCTGTCTCTCTGAACTCTCAAAGAACCACCTAAAGCTATTTCCTCTCACAGAAGAACAGGGTGTTGTTGACAGGATTGTGATAATTCTTGCATGAAAGGGCTGGATCACCCATATACRCCCAAACATACTCAGGTTTGTTCCCATCACAAATCACAACAATATTCATTAAAATCCAACATTACTACAGCACCCCGCATCTGAGGATTGGTGAAAGAGGCTTGAGTTCCTTACAGATGGAGAGCTACTGCCAATATTAACAGCATTTACTGCTGAGCTTGGAGTAGATGCTGCAATGCCTAGGGAAAATTATATTATCAAAGAGTTAGAGTATTTCTAACAAAGCAAATCCAAAATAATAYCATCCATGTTTTCCACATGAAGAGCAGCAATAGAAGTAATACAAATAGAAAATAAAAGTATTATCATATCACAAAAGCATAAAGTAATGTGTTATCTTAATTCTTGAGATTAGGGGATTGTAAAAWTGTTTCCTGACTAAAGCATTGAATGTGCAAGCAGTTATTCATCTCATTAGCTTAAAGCCTATTAGCAGACCCATTGATGTCTGCAGGCTGTAAGTATATTTTGATGAACTGGTACCACAAGGAATTATTTCACCCAGTGCCAAACTCTGGCTGATTGCAGCAAAGGGCTCAGTGACAGTGCAGCAGCTCAGGGTGGGATCATACAGCCACTGAGTCCAGGCTGCAGTCAAAATAGGAAAAAATAAAATTGTAGAAATAATGCCATTAATTGTTTTCCAGGAGGCTGGGGAGGTGCATTGGCAAGAAGTGAATTGCTCTGAGAAGCAGTCAGGGTCTGAAGTTACAGGTTTTGACAGGTAAGTGAGGGCAGCTGAGGGTGAAATAAAGGAAACAGCAAGGGACTGTGAAATAAATACTCTGCATTTCAGTCAGAAGTAGGCAACAGCTATTTTATGTGGCATTTTCTCCCAACAGGAGGAGAAGGGGCACTCGTGCTCCACAAATCCCAGCAGGTGGCTCCAGCGAAAGAGCACAAAGTCCTCCAGGAACATCCTCAGTATYTCCCAAGGTGAGACCCACATTTCTCACCGTCCTTTCCTGAGCTCAGCTGGTGAGGGATGACAGTGGTGTGTTCATGCTGAGGGTGGCAGCTGTAATAACCCTCCAGGTTTASACAGCTGCTTTTCTCAGGGCAAGCATCGAATTCAGCATAGGAACATTCATTGACATCTAGGAAGAACAGCACACCTTGCACAGATGTTGAGAGCAGCAGCAAGATTGATCTGCAATACTCTGGATATGATAAATTCGGTGTAAATCTGCAATAATGCTGTTAAAGCCATTCTGGATGCTATCACTCTGTTACTTTTTATTCCAATTCTTTGGAATTGGAGGACACTCAGGGGCAGCTCCTCCTTACAGCTGTAGGATGCCATCCAAACCTGAGATGTCAGCACAGGAGAAAGGAGAACTACCCAGAGATTTCACTGAAAGCTGCACTGAGCAAAACACAGAATAAGAAGCACTGAAAATGGTTCTTACAGATGCATTTCAGAAGTGAAAATRTTCAGGTAACTATAGAGCAATAAGYAGACTGACATAATTTAAAATTAWTATAYTGAAATGCTTAAGTAACCTTTTAAAAGTATGTAGTAATATGCTATAGTAATTAACAGTYTATAAATATGATGCTTTTCATGCAAGCTACTGGAGGTAACATGGCAACAGAATATATCTGCTTCACCAGAAAACACTTTTCTTAGGAGCCTGTTTAATACAACTAGTGATTGTGCTACAAATATGGACACATTTGCTTTTTCATCTGAAAAACTGTTGGTAGAAAATTAATTTAATTGAGRATTCAGGAGCATTCCCTTCTGAACTCTTCACTCCAAAGTAATCCTTAACGCTCCATCCTATAACAAAAAGGTCAGGGCCATGTTTGCAAAGTTTGCAAGATTCTCTGTGCTATCTTTGAGAGCAAATTAATGGYCAAATAAATGAGATCCCAAGTGAAGAGGGACAAAAGCCCCTAAAATGTGACAGGATTGCAATTAATGACCTTGCACTTCAGCGTCAATCACTTCATACATGGCTTCACCATGGCCTTGAGGGAGGAGRAAACATCTGCCAGAGGAGCTGGGTGGTGCATTCCAAGGAGAACCCAGCAGGGTTCTGCACTGTCCCAGCATAGATTTCCCCAGGGTCACTCTGGATGTGGTGCACTGAGGCATTCAGGGGCTGCAACGCACCAGTAACCTGGAAAAGAGGGCAGCAAACACTTGAGCAMCTTGTTCCTTCCCCAGGACATGAATTATGCAATGATTATTATCATAATCTGAATGCAGAAAGAAATTCAGAAACCACAGCAAAGTGGCAACAYTTAGGCCTGTATTTATGCAAGGTGAGTTCTTATTTTCACATTTCACAAGAGATTTATGTTCCAGTAATGCCAAGCTAAGGAGGGTGTGGAGCTGATCTCAAAATGCTTTGGCAGAAGGATGTAACCCAGGAAGAGATGGRAAAAGTCCTGCTTTGCAAAGCCTCAATTTACCTGCAATAAAGCTGTCCAGCATTTCTTACTCTGAGCAGCTAAAAGGACTGCTGGCAAAGGGAATAGAAATCAAAAAGGGAAAACAATAGACTGAGGATGATGAGTGGGATTAAGAGTCACGGAGAGACTCCAGAGAGACCAAACTGAGAGTCAGGAATGAGAGAGGGGACCTGCTGGTGGGCTGAGCATTGTGAGTCAGTGGAACAGACAGCAGGACATTCCACTGAGTAGCAGATTATTGCAGAGCTTCACCTCAACTCTCCATTTCTTGGGTGCTTGACTTTCACACAGCTTGTTCTAGACCAAGATATAAAAGTCTTGGTGAATTATTGCCCTCTACTCCCAACTACACAGTGACAGGACCAGGGTTTCTTGCTTTTTTAGGATATGAGAAGGGGAAATCAGATAGGAGGAAGAATTACACCCATGCAGTTGCTATCATTGCTGTTCTCCTGCCCATCAATGCCAGCAGATTATGGCAGATAGATTTGTCTCTGGAAAGGTTTAACTTAAAATTTCCTAATCAGAAAGCATTATGCCTAGAAGGACTTGAAGTCTGGTCCTAGTCTGTCACAGGCCCAAAACCGAGCTGAGACTGGAGCAAGCACCACTTAAGCAGGAAAATCCCCTTTATTTCAGCATGTCTTTAAATTACCCTTGGAAGAGACTTGAAAAATTTGCTGAAGAAGCTGATAAATCAATGTTACTTGAATTGCTTAMGGATGCAGCTGACATTTAGTAATTAGAAATACATTAGGTCCAAAAAAAATCAATCTGGCAGAACAAAGGAGGAGCAAGGGGTGGCTCCTGAGTAACAGAATCACAACGAGGTGAGAGTTTGTGTTTGTTCTTACCACGGAATGCAAAAGGTGGGAATGATTCAGAAGGTGGGAATCCACCCGGATTAATTCGTTAAAATCCWTTTTCACAAGCACTGTCACGTTGTACCAGAAAGTCCTCCCTGCAGGGAGCAAAATAAAACAGCCAAGTCATCTGAGGTCTGGCGCTGCAGAAGGCAATGGAGCTTTAGGGAGGCTCTGAGGAAACAAAGCAAGATTGAACTCGGCAAAAGGGAAGGGCCCGTGAGCAGCCACCATCTACAGCCACGTTTGCCATATGCCACGGGCAGAGAGAGGAGCCAGCCAAGGAGAAGGAGCCAAGGAGGGTTTGCTGCATCCCCAGCACCCATGCACCGCTAGGGGTGCAAGCACTGAAGCTGAATATCCTGGGATTGATCCAARGCAGATCCCCGTGTTTGTTTCAGGAAGAGCTATGGTAACAGTTTTCCTGCCCACTCCCACCCTCAGAAGGGAGAATTAAGGATATTTCYATTAGAAACAGTGTTGAATTTATCAGTAACATACCCTCTGGCGTGGGATCCACACAGCCTGCTCCTTTGGCTGAGCTGCAGCATTTTTTCAGCCCTGGACATTCAGTATCGAACGTGCAAGGATAATCAAGTGTTTCCATACCCTTCATTGGACAAACACCAGGTCTTGAAGCAAATATGCTGGATCTATTGACTGCTAAGTAACAAAAACATTTCTGAGAACAAAAATACAGAAAGTTGTTTCCATGAAATGRTGATATTTAATTTATATCAAACACCTCCTCCTCATTTTAGGAGTGTKTCTGTTCTGAGGTTTCAATGGGAAGAAAACAGCAGCTTAAAATACCATTATTTCATTTTGAGGGTGTAAATATTCTCAGATTTTTCTCTTGTCCATGAYATTTCTGTTACAGAAATTTCAAATTTATAATTTTCCATTAATAATTATGGATGGATGGGTGGATAGTTGAGTTTCTAACCGTGGAGACACCGAAGCACTGCAGAACAGCAAATGTGCCTGATGTCAGCTGTGACTAATCCAAATAATATATAATGATCAAAGGAAACAGGTATTAAGACAGAAATTGAGAACTTTTCATTTAACATTTTGTGGCACAAATTTAACCTTTGTTGSAGTAATTCTGTTCCAGCTGGCCACTCCAGGAGGTTGGTAGCCCAAGCCAGAGAGCCCTGCAGAGAAGGCAGCTAAGGYTGCTGCTTCCCAAGCCAAGGGCAGGCAGTGGTCCTGGGTCAGTGCCAGCACAAAATCTCTTCTGTGGACGAAAAGAGAAAATATTTCCAAGCCCTACAAACACTGCTCTCACCCACACTCTCAAACACAGCTCCAAGTAATGCTCAGCTCTGATCTTTTTAATCAAACTGAAAGATTTCTCTTTTTTATTAGTTTTGCACCTACAGTTTTTTGATCCTTTACCGGGCAATCAAACCCAGCCAGGAGAAAAATGAACGTGATTGTTGCAACAGAAACAGTTGTGGTGCAGAAAAACCTCGTTTGACGTAATAAAGCCCATAGCAAGTGAAAGGTCCAGAGCAAACTGTAAATCTATCATGACCAGTCGGTTCTGTGGGTTTACAATTTCTGTTATCCCAAGGCTCTGGRTGAGAGTGAGGTTTCTGAGAAGCAGAAGGGGAATATTGAATCTAGCACTTTTGGCCTCAGCAAAGTAACCTTCTTAGCCAGGGAGATTTTCTTGGTTAATCAATTAAATTACATCATTTAAATGTATGTAACTTGCTGCCACATGCTCATTCCAGGTCCTCCTCTCTCTGGGGCTGGCACTACAGGCTGCTCCCCCAAACAGGTCCTTCTGCTGGAAATGTTCCTCCTGATTCCTAAAGCCCCATTAAGGTGTGATACAGCCTTGGCTGCCCTTTGCTCAGTCCCACACATTCCCAGGCTCATGGGTTGCTCCTTCACAGCCTCTCACTCTGCATCCTGCACAAACATGAGCACCAAGGGATTTCCCTGTGTTAGAAAATTCCCTGTTCACCAGTTCTCCTTACTGTTCAAACCAGGTGGATCATGGCAAGCTGGACCCAGGCATGTAAACTCCTTCAGCTCTGAGGTCCAGGTGCAGTTCAAGCAAGTTTGAGGTTCAAAGCAGCTTTTTTTCCTACCTGGGTCTTTTTATTTTGTTGTTGCATTTAACTGCAGTGTAAATGGTTTAATAAGTCACATGGAATCTCAGAAAACACTATTGAATCCTGGCCAGGTGCCACTGCAGCCATTTATCTGAAATCAAAAGGTCATCGTTTTCGGATCAGCGGAARCAGAGATGGATTCACTTCCCATTTCTGCCTAATTGTAGCAGATGCACTTTGGAAATTCAATTTATGCTCTCCACTTCAATCATGCTGGGGACAGTCCCCTACCAAGCAAGCACTGGGGAGCAAGCCAGCCAACTCCTCTGTCATTTGGATGAAGCACAGGCTTTTCTCCTCYGTTATTTACATAAATGTATGGAAGCAGAACTGCAGCTTAGCAACCAAAGGTCACTTGCCAGCCTGCCCACTGGACAGCTGCTGATCTGCTGATCTGCTGTGACTGCAGGATGGGGGATCACCCAGGAGATTGATGCTGAGGGACMCCATCAGCTCAGCCATAACCCCCTTCCTCTCCCTCCTTCCATCTGGAYGGGATGGTTTCATCCAGAGGGTGTGGTGGAGTCAGGGATCATCCCCCTGCATTTGTCTCAGGTATCAGAAGGTGGAGACAAATCTGTGAGATTASAGAGGAATCTCCTGGCAAAGTCTGTTCCAAGGGCAGGCTGGCAGTTTGCACCATAAAACCCTGGTTTGAGCTTTGGGAGGCTTCACCTGCTCAGATGGATGTTTTCCATCCTGATTGCCTTTCCAGGGGCTAATTGGGATTTGTGTTGGTCCAGCACCTGATGGATATTTAACACCCTTCCTGGCTGGGATTTTTGCCTTGGAGAGGAGAAGGCTGAGGGGGATGTGATCAAGGTTTACAAAACCCCAAAGGCAGGGGAAAGGTAAAAGCAGAGCTGGTTTTCACCAGAGCCCACAATAATAAAATGGGTGAAAAAATTCACTTCTTTACCCAAACAGGAGGGAACTTCTGCAGTTTGTCAGCACAGRGGGTGTGGAAGCAGACAGCTTCAGTGGGCTCAGAAAAGGACAAGGCAATTCCCAGGATGGCCATCAGCAGACACCACTGGAACAGGTAGGGATGCTGAAAATCCCATATCTGCACTGGTGGGGGCACACAAGGGACCCAAACTGCAGGGCAGCCAGAGCCACCTGCTCCTGGGTGAAATCCCAAAGGACATTCTGGCACCTTCCCAGCCCAGGCTGATCTGCAATGCTGCCCACAGGTGACACCACTGGACAGCTGTGCCCCARATGCTCCTGTTACACTCAGCATGGGAACATCTGCTCTGAGCTCTGAAAGGTCCCAGCCCTGCTGAGGAGCTGCCTGGACACCTACAATGAACATTTTTCTTACTTTGCAGTTGTTTTTCTGAAAACCTTAGGAAGCTGTGCACACAAAGCACACTCTGATTAAAATGTGGCCTTCAACACTGCAAATCAAGTGCTCTCAGGAAGCYTCACAATTAAAGTTGTCTGGGCCTTCTTATTTTAAGGTATTTTYGCAAATGAGTGCTTAACAATGAGCCTTCATTGTGTGCTGATGCACTCTACCCCAGCCTAGCTGGGGATCAGGCAGGGTTAGATGGCAGATAAGGAGCTCTCTGGTTTCATCTCATGCTGGAAAGTGGGCAGCAAGCCAGACACCAGGAGAAGTAACCATGCCATCCATTCAAGCAGCTGGAAACAAGCCTGGAGAACTGGATCCTATCTCTACCTAAAAAACAAGGTGCTGAGAAAGTTTTGTGTTATGAAAAAACCTTTCAGAGCCATGGGTTTCACAGGTCCATGAGCCTGACGTGCAGCCCTGTGCCCCAACCACACAAGTTGTTAAAAACAGCACTAAATATTCTGAAAACAGAATAAATTTAAGAAAAAATTAAAACTGCACCCAAGGTGTGTAAAAGCAGGTCTGAAACTAACACAGAATGTTTTGATCTCGGTTCCTCTGCAGCTCAGTTGCCCATCTGTGAAAGACAAAGAAGCTCCCTCACTTCCCACAGGCTTCATGGAGAAAAAATTGCTGCCTGTGAATCCCCCAGGATTCACCTTAAGAGGTGATAAATAATTCTGTATTCAGTGAGAGGCTGAGCAGAGCCCTGAATGTGGAGKTCAGAATGGCACACTCTGGGGAGCTCCATCATCCCTGGGCTCAGGGAAATGTGGTCCTTGGGGCACTGCAGAGCTGGATCAGGCAATTAAAAGACTTCACAAATCTGCATGTACAGGAACAAAGAGAGAAAACAAAGGTTGTTTTATTTAATTCTACCATAAGAATTAATTCCAGCACTTCCTAACTTTCAGATACTTAACTTTCCAGCTGTTATTTAAAAATGTCAGAGTCATTTGTGTGTGCATCTGTAAMATTATCCCAATGGATGGACACACAACTAGTTAGAACCACCAGAGTAAATTGCTCAAAGATCTACATATTTTTTCCCCAACAATAGAGAAATAAGAAAAGCAGGGCCTGCCACATCCCAGGCAGGGGTAAATGTTTCCTTTCACGACGAGAAGGTGAGGAGTGGCAAAGAGCAGGTTGCTGGGAAAGGTCAAGGAGACCTTTCCACTCCTAGCATGGATAATGTCAAGAAGAAAATAACAGTAGTTCCACAGCGTGCTGTGCAGTAATTTCAGCAGTTCCAGTTTCTCTTCTCATCATTTATTTAAGACTGTGTCTAGACAGTGCATTACCATTCACAGAATTTATGACTAATGCCCTGAAAAGCAAAGATACCGGAATAATGTAAACACAGAAATCACCTAGAAGGCATACAAATCCTTAAATGGTTTAAAATATTCCCAAATTAACTTTGACAGGAAAAGGTGTCAGGGTGACCACAGTATTTCATGGACAAACTTGCCCAGAGTGCCCATCAACAAGATGGCAAGGGAAATTCCRCAGCTAAGCTTCACAAGAGATTTACAGATTTGTTCATGTTAGATGAAACAGAATCATCAACAGCTCTCAAGCTTAAAATATCCCTAGAGATGCTTTTAAAAGATGTAAAATTATACAGGGAAAAATATTTAAAGTGTTACCAGGATGATTTTTTTTCCACACAAGAAGCAGATCTTGATTTTCAGAGGATCAGAAACACTTGAATTTCTTGTGCAAAAAGTGACAACCACTGTGAYTCTTCCACATTTAGCTGGCACAGCTCTTTCCTTGTACTACAGAATTAAAAAGCCATTTTCTCTGATTGCCTCTCAGTSTTGCCATTTGATACAGGCACACAGGTATGCACATGCCTGTGTAGCCAAAAGACTTTAGTGAAGTAACTTTCAACCATAATTAGACGTACTGGAGATTTCCCTCAGCGTGGAATTGATGCTTGGAAAACACAGATGATCAGCAGCAGGTCCTTTGCCAGTCTGACAAATCTGCTCAGGCACACAGTGACCTCACAGCAGCTCAAATTCTGCCTTTGCCAAGACTCCACAATAGCCATGGAGCCAAACAAAGGAAGGATACAGCAAATTAAGAATTATGCTTTAATTTCTCTTCTCTAGCAAACCATTTTAGGAACAAGTAAAACACATCAACCACTTTTGTGCTCCCATCCTTCTGTTAAAATCCTGCTAGACACAATATTCTACCTGTGAYTATGGAGAAAACGCCTGGAAGAAAAAAAAAGTTTGGAAGTTCTTTGTCCAACGCTCTGAAGCAACTTAAATGTGGGATGAACACATTGTTTTTGACAGATCCCATGACAGGACATATGGCTCATCCCCCCTCACGCCACGTTATATGACCCAGTGCAGGAGCAGGTTTGGGGACATTCCCACASATCTGAGTCACCCAAGTCTTATGACCCAAAACAAGAGCCAGGGCTGCAACAGGACCTTTCCTTTCAATCTGCTGTTCCTGTGTGTGGTTATKTAAATGCCCAGGTCCCTGCTGCAAAGTGGAAATAGAGAAACTGCAATGTCATACCGAAAACAGGAGACAAAATGATGTCCTGCAGAACTTTTCTGGATGACAGAAGAGCTCAGCTCTGTTTTTTAGAAAATTCAAGATGCTTGTTCAGCTTAAAAGCATGTAACTTTATCCATGAAGCAAAGAAAGTCCCTTTTCCCCAAGGAATCCCCTCCATCTATGTCCCAAGTTCTGATAACACTGGGAATTTCTTGTTAATGGCAGGTAGYCCTGATGTGGGAAGGGGAAAAATCTTCCATCTTGAGACAAAGATGATTAAGTCTTCCTGAGCAGTCTTATTWACTCTCAGAAGTCAGATCAGATCCACCAAAAAGTTCACCAGTTTTCAGACCTCCCACATAGTCACAGGTAACCTGGGAAGCCCTCAGAAAATGGTTCTTAATGTAGTTTGGGTTGGAAAGCATCTGGTACCAGGTTGCCCTGAAGGTAACAGCTTATTTTAAATTTAAACCAAAATTGGGCTTGCAATCTGGGAACAGAATCCACGTGTAAGAAGATGTTATCCTAAGTGCATCCTGAAYTACTTTTGAGGAGAAAGCTCCTGGTGTAACTGAAGGCTCAGAGCAGACACGGCACCAGGCACAGGATGTGAGTTACTGCTCTTGGTCAGGGGTTTTGGTCTGAACCTGAACAGGTAATTGGTGCCCTTGGAGGGGTAACAAGCAGGTGCCCTCCTCAGGCTCCCCTGGAAGTTTAATGAATTTGTGACTAGGCATGGCAAAGAGCAAGAATCAGGAGCTTTAGTCTGCTATGTCTGCTCCTTACCATGTTGGACAAAGTCTAAAAATGATACATTTCTGCAGACTCACTTATTTCAGTGAATAGAACCTATGGCCCAGAACTGAATGAAGCCTTTACACATTCAGTGCAGTTCATCTTCTTCCCAGAGAAGCATTTCTTTCCACTCTCAATCTGGCTAGAACATACCCAGTGAGCAGTAGAGCCCAACCTGTTGGTATCCTTCACAGCAATCCCTGARAGTGATGGTTTCAGGGATTTCCACCCTGTGATACTGCATTCTGTAGAGTGTCCTGGGACACACCATCCACGGGATCCACCCTCCACAGGGTCTGTCCTTCTCATAGGACTTTTGGTAGGCAACCATTTTAAACACGCTTTTGGTCAGGGTGTGGTTGCACAGATGGTACCCTAGCAAAGAGAGGCCTTTTTCTCGGGAAGAGAAACAGGAAAGAAAGGGATAAGCAATAACTTGTCACCCCAGAGCAAAAGTTCCCTGCAGTACCCAGCTAAAAACAGTGTTATGAGAAAGCAGTGACAGAACCAACACAGATGAGTRGCTTTCAGAAAGGCTGATGTTAGGAAGAAAATCACTTCAAAAAACAGACACAAGAAAGAATTGATAGTGAGTGCTTGTCATAGGCATCACTTTGGTCATGAAAGGATGTAGATTGGCAGGAAATTCAAAGAATTCTTGATGCCTTCAGGTGTGAGCCAGAAAAAAGAGCAATTTATCTCAAGTTAATATTAAGGAGATTTACATATGTTAATATAAATTAACAGTAAAGCACGATAGGCACTTCCAGGGCAGAGTCATCCCGGTACATGAAATGTCCGCTCCAGCCTCATGCTGCCAGTGTTCATCACTCCCCACTGCAGARGGAACAAAGGGCGAGGAACTCACGGGCACATGAGTCACAGTGGATGTCTGGAATAAGACATCCTTCAGACATCACCCTAGGCTAAAACTGGGAACTCGTACATCACCGGGGAGGACTTCCAGGTATCTGACACAAAAGGTGTTCCCGGAGCTCCGATGCTGCCTCTCTGCATCATAGCTGACCTTGTTGATCAGGCCTTTGAAACCTGCAGTGGTTCATTGACTTTAACTTTAAACAAAGTCAGTGATAAGGTGATTAACTACATYATTTCACACGGGTGTGGGGATGGGACTCAGCTCCCAGAGTCCTGAAACCATTCCTGATGAGGAGCAAGATTGTTACATGCTTTACTTACAACTGAAATACTGGAACTGGGAAAAAACCCAAAACACAAATAACACAAAGAAACACCAACAACAGCAACAAAARCAGATGGAGTTTAAGAATTAGCAGTAAGCAACCTACAGTCATGTCACAGACATCAGGCTGGCTCCTAATGAGATGTTCTAGAAGCCAGAGGGGCTGAGTCACCCTGTGTCCCATTTGGGAAACAGATCGGATAGAATTAAAATGCCTGTATCATCCTCCAGCCAAAGCAGAAGAAACTTTAATAAGGATAAATATGAATTAGCTGTAGAGATTCAAATATAGCAGGACTGTTTTTTTTCTGAGAGCTCTGAGGGCACCAGGGTCAGCCAACAGACAGACTGAAGTTAACTCAGTATACACAACARGCAAACAATTAAAGTATTTACAGCTTATCTTATCTGTACTACTTATCTCCTGTCTGAAAAGATGAAATATGTAAAAACAATTCAAGGGAAAAAAAAATTGTCAGGCTTTCAGGAATCCTGTGTTTTATTCCTGTGTATTATGAACAACATTTCAGCTAAACAAAAG